CGTGCGGCATCTCCCCTTGCATGTCGCTGTGCGCCGAGTGCTTCACCAGGGCGACCACTCGGGACACGACTTCAACATGTTCCCGCAGCCAGGCTGGGGGCGCCTGCGATTGCGGGGACAGCAACGTGATGCGGGAGAGCGGGTGAGTGGAGCCCTCCCCGGGGCGGGGAGCGCAGCGGGAGGGCCGGGCCTGGGTTTTGGGAGACCGGGAATGGGGGCTTGGGGGCCGATCCTGAGCCGTGAAGGGAAAGGAGCAGGGGAGGGAGGGTGCAGGCACCCGGGGACGGAGGGGTCTGAGGTGTCAGCGGCGGAGAGGGGGTGAGATGGAGGGGAGAGCGGAGAGCAGGTTTAAGGATCGGGCTGTGAATTTTCGGGGAAGCCAAGGCGACTGAGTGAGAGCGAGCAAAGAGCCTGTGCGTGGGGTAGGAGGAGGAAAAGGATTCTTGGGGAATGTGGTATCGAGCTGTCAATGGTGCACTTGTTGGGAAAGGCTGTAGCAAGCGGCGTGCTTCCTGGGAAGAGGTGATGGTGTGATTTGGTTTGGCTGGGAGGGGTATTGGACCGAATTGGTTCGTGGGATGATGAGAGGCGGGGAGGTGGTCTTGCAGCTGCAGGGGAGGACAGCGTAGGGAGAAGGACTTCGGAACTGTCAGCGTGTCTGTGTGCGAAGGAGCTGTGGAGCTTGTGGGGGTTGAGGGAGGAGCGAGTGGGAGGGGCCTGCACGGAAAGCGGCTGTTGAGCTGTCAGTGGGGTATTTGGTGTGCTGGAATGACATCTAGAATCGGGCTGCCGAGCGGTCAGTGATAGACTACCCTCTGTACCAGGAGAACAAACAAAACACCGAGCAAATTAGGAATCAGGTGTGAGCTCTTCTCCAGCTAAAAAGCGCACCTTATTCGCTGTCTAATACGAGCCATCTTTCTAAAAGGAGACACTCAAAACAAATGCTTTTCTAATAGGAAGGATGTACCAGGGTGTTGGGACTTGGGACAGAAGACATTTCAGAGATTGCAGCGAGTTAAAGAGTTCGTACATGTAGTGTCTTGGCTTGGGAATGATTCCCATGTTTAGGGAAGTCCTGGGATAAGGAAAGACTTTGTGACCCAGAGAAAATTTTAGCTGGGCAGTAGTAGTTGAAAGAATGCTAGCAAATCTAGTTATTCAAGTTTTTCAAATTTTAAGTCTTATAGAGTATAATCCCTTTAGAAATGGTCACCATTTTCTTCTTTGGAGTACTTGTAGGTTACTGTTTCTCCAGAATGTTTGTATCTACTAGGTGAAAGCAAGGTTCCTGGGATATTAAACATGAATAAGACTTAAGCCACTTACAATAGAATAGAAAATGATAAATTCCTTATATAGTTCAGGAGTTAGAGGAGGCTGCTGTGCAGAGAGAGTAAGAAAAAGGCTTTAGAAAGGAGGCATTTTGAGCCCTGGCCAGTATGTCCAATGGTTAGAGCGTCATCCTGTGCACTGAAGGGTCACGGGTTCGATTTTTGGTCAGGGCAATACCCAGGTTGCGGTTCTATCTCTGGTAGGCTTGAGGCAACTGATGTTTCTCTCTTTCTCTTCCTCCTTTCTCCTCTTCCTAACTCTCTCTCTAGAATCAATGAAAAGCATAGCCTCATGTGAGGATTAAAAAAATTAGATACCTGTCTAGTGTGGCTCAGTGGTTGGGCATCGACTTATAAACTAGGAGGTTATGGTTTGATTCCTGGTCAGGGTACATGTCTGGGTTGCAGGATCGATCCCCAGTGTGGGACATGCAGGATGCAGCTGGTCAATGATTCTCTCTCATCATTGATGTTTCTCTCTCTCTCTTCCTTTCCCTTTCTCTCTAAAATCAATAAAAATATATTTTAAAAAAAGAAAGGTTTTTTGAGATTGCTGCTGCTACTACTACTACTACTACTACTAGTGTTACTAATAACAACAGTAATAGCCCTAGCTGGTTTGGCTTAGTGGATAGAGTGTCAGCCTGCGGACTGAAGGGTCCCAGGTTCGATTCCAGTCAAGGGCACATGCCCGGGTTGTGGGCTCTATTGGTCACATGTTGATCAACAATTCTCTCTCATCATTGATGTTTCTATCTCTCTCTCCCTCTCCCTTCCTCTCTGAAATAAAAAATATATATTTGGAAAAAAATAACAGAAATAATTGCAGCTAATATTCAAGAGCATAAAGCAGGGGTCCTCAAACTTTTTAAACAGGGGGCCAGTTCACTGTCCCTCAGACCGTTGGAGGGCCGGACTATAGTTTAAAAAAAAAACTATGAACAAATTCCTATGCACACTGCACATATCTTATTTTGAAGGAAAAAAACAAAACGGGAACAAATACAATATTTGTATTTGCATGTGGCCCGCGGGCCGTAGTTTGAGGACCCCTGGCAAAAAGTATAAGACTGACATTCGTTTTTTCATATATATATTATTGTTGATAGTATTGCAGATGTCTCCCATTCCTCCCCCTGTACCCCTCTCCTTCCAGCCCTGCCTACGCCCCCAGGTGTTTACCACCCTATTGTCCGTGGGCTATGCATATAAGTTCTTTTGGTTTATCTCTTCATGTCTCCCCATCACCAAGTACTAACATTAAAAAAATAGTTTTTAAAATTAATATTTGAATAGGTAAAATATTCATATAGCTAAAAAAAAGCAAAAAAAAAAAAAAGCCCAAACATAAACAGTTTGAAGTGTCCCTCCCATCTTGTCTTCCATCTGCCCAGTTTCGTCCCACCATTGTTAGTTTCTTAGTGCAAAAACCAACAACGATGAATATGTATTTTGATTTTTCAGTCTTTTTTATGCAAAACATAACATGCCATATGCATTGTTCTACACATCTTGCGTTTTTCACTTATGAAAAGACTTAAGAGATCTTTCCATGCCAATCTGTTTAAAAAAACCAAAACTGCTACATAGTGTTCCATATCATGAAGTTGCCATACTTTGTTTAATCATCACTTTTGATGGATATTTGGTTTCCGTTATGAGATATAAAACCTGGAATATACCTGTCTTTTCAGACCTGTGCAAGAATATCAATGGAATACATTCTCAAAAGTGGGATTTCCAAATTGCCCTCCATGAGGCTTAATACTAAGCAGGGAATGAGACTCCCTGTTTTCTAACAGCCTTATCAACAGTGTTATTAAAAGTTTGGACTTTTATCCACCTATTTGGAAAACAGTGGTCAAATATTAACTGCTTGCCTGGCTGGTGTAGCTCAGTGGTTGAGCATTGACATATGAAGCTGGAGGTCACGGTTAGATTTCTGGTCAGGGCACATGCCTGGGTTGTGGGCTTGATCCCTAGTGTGGGGCGTGCAGGCAGCAGCTGATCAATGATTCTCTCTCATCATTGATGTTTCTATCTATCTATCCCTCTCCCTTCTTCTCTGAAATCAATAAAATATATAACAACGACAATAAAAATATTAATTGCTTTACATGATTTAACTCATTTAATCTTCAACAACTCTGAGATTATTACTGTTATTATCCCCATTGTATAGAAAAGGAAAGTGGGGCACAGAGTTTTAAAAAACTTGCCCAGGATTACACAAGCACTAAATTAGGCATGCTGGCTCTGGAGCCTACCACTCAACACTTCTCTCAACTGTCTCTACAAATAACATTCTTATTCGTACTTCCATTTAATACTGTTGTATTTTTTTAAATATTCCATTCTGTTGGGCCTTTTTCTTTTTAAACTAACACTTTTTTCTTTATATTAGAGGCATTTCAAAACATAGAGGAAGGAGTTGAAACAGTTCTTTACTGATATTTAGTCATTTTTACTTCACAGACTAGTTTAAGCATTTAGGAAATCCTCTAAAAACATGAAATTAAGAAATAATATTGATTCTTCTCTGAATTTTGGAACACAGTGGTAATTATCAGGTTGATCTGGGTGAAAAGCAAATCTGATTTCTAATTGTGATGCTTCAGTGTGGGAATGAAACTATGTCAGTGAGTTTCTTTGAAGGTACTCATATAGGTTTAGGGCATCTGAGCAGTAGATAGTATACATACTAATCTTATAGAAATCTATATTTATACCTAAAGTAATTATATAAAGAACAAACAAAGCCTAAAGTGAATAGAAGAAAGGAAAAATAAAGGTCAGAGTGGAAAAAAATGAAAATGCAGTCTAAAAAAAAATACAAAAGATCAATGAAAACAGGAGCTGGTACTTTGAAAAGATAAACAAAATTGATAAACTTTTAGCTAGACTCATAAAGAAAAATAGAGGACCAAAATAAATAAAATCAGAAATGAAAGAGAAGTGACAACTGACACCACAGAAATACAAAGGAGTAAAGAAAAATTATGAACAATTATATGCCACAAATTAGATAACCTGGAAGAAATGGATCAATTTCTAGAAACATACCATCTTTCAAGAGTGAATCAAGACGAATACACACTCTCACACACACACACACACACACACACACACACACACACCTACGTGACTGTCTGACTGGTAGATAGCCATGACATGCAATGATCACCAGGGGGCAGATGCTCAACAAAGGAGCTGCTGAGTTGTGGTGACTTGGTAGCTGCGGTTCTTGTGTGATGCACCGGGAACCAGAGAGGAGGGAGCCTGATTCCAGGGTGCGTCACCCGAGAACCGCCTCTTGCAATCTGGGCCCCTCAGGGTATGTTGGACAGCCAGTTTTGGTCCGATCCCTGCAGGCCAGGCCGAGGAGCCCCACCAGTGCACGAATCCGTGCACCAGGCCTCTAGTCAGAAAATATGAGCAGACTGACCAATAACTACTAATGAAATTGGAAAAAAACAACAACCTCCCATCAAATAAAAGTCCTGGACCAGATAGCTTCACAGGTGAATTTTACCAAACATTCAAAGAAGAACTAACACCTGCTCTTCTCAAAATGTTCCAAAAAACTAAATAGGAAGGAATGCTCCCAAGCGCACTTTACAAGAACAACACTATGCTGATTCCAGACCCGACAGAGACATTTCGAAAAAAGTGAAATACTGTAGGCCAATATCTCTAATGATGATAGATACAAAAGTCCTCAACAAAATATTAGCAAACTGAATTCAGCAACACATAAAAAAGATTATACACCATGATCAAGTAGGTTTATTGGGATGCAAGATTAGTT